ATGAATAGTCACGATAATGTAACACTTCAGCAGATTGTCCAGGGAGGTTGTATAGTCTATATACTCTGATTCTGAAAAACAGATTGAACAGAAACGTGCCTGAAATGGTACAGCTACATCTAGTGTTCTCTTTGGGCAGAGGATTGAACTGATGACTTCTTGCAACCTTTTCCCTATGATTTTCTGTGAATTTCTGTGATTGATTGTTTCACAGTAAAGCTTGTTCTTCTGTTGGAGATATTTGATTGGTCAAATGTGCCTACAGTAGAATTATAGTCAGGACATTTTTCAATTAATTTTTCTTTAATATGGACCTTTTTCAACTACAGAAATGTAGTATAAAGAGAGATGAAAAGAAAGAAATAAGAACTATAATAATAATATTTTGACAATTGAACTATAATAATAATTATTTTGACAATAATAATATATTTTGACAATTGAAAACTTTTAATAGGTTCTGAGTTTTAGGCAAAAGCTTAAAAATTAATAAAACATCAATGCGGATTAACATTACAGATTAAAATATAATCATTACGTACTGTTTACAAATACATATCTCCTGCTTAAGTAGTTACATTGCAGTTTTTTGTCAAGTGTGTGCATCTTTTTTATTTTCCTTAGTATTCCCTCATGGATCTTTTATCCAAAATGGTTGTTGGACAGCCTCACTTTATCCGCTGCATTAAACCTAACGATGATCGAGAAGCACTGACATTTTCTCATGAGAGAGTTCTACTGCAGCTACGATATACTGGAATTCTGGAGACTGTCAAAATACGTCAAAAAGGGTATTCTCATCGCATCCTCTTTGAAGAGTTTGTGAAAAGGTAAGACTTCTAGAACATGGCTGCTGGTTTAAAACTCCATTCAATACAATATATTGTATGTTTAAGTGCAGACAATTCTATAAATGTTGGTTTGTACATGTATGGTCTGATTCTCTAGTGAGAGCAGTGACTATCAGTGATAAAAACTACAAGAGATGTCAGAGCTCTAATGGAGAAAAGTCCAGGCGAGACCAGCAGTGAGCACTTAGTATTCAGTAGCAAGCCTGTCCCCATGGTTCCTTCAGTGGAGGCAACAAGTGGAAATTATGCATCATGCTCAGATAATAAAAGGAGTTGCAAGGTCAGTGACCTTCAGCCATCACATGAATAATGTGTACATGCTTAAGAATGAACTGATATAAAAGCTTTAGATTTAGAAATATTCCCTGTAATAGCTTCATAGCCATGAGGCTATGAGTCATTTATCTTGGAGGCATCATGAATTATAACCAGATGTCTGTTCACCTGAAGGCTTGTCATGGCTACTATTACTAGCTTTAGTACTATTCTCAGTCGCAAAAAGTTAGAGATTTGATTTAGGAAATGCTATTGTCTTTAGGATGACAATATGTTTATATGATCATTATGGTTTCCTCTAGATTTAAAATGTGTTTTTGTTTAGTACTTACTGTTTTTCAGTCTGTAGATCTGATAATTCAATAATGGAGCAGAAGCAGTACTGTTAAGCCATCAGCTACTCAACAGTAGGAAAGAGTAGTGAATGGCTATATCCAGCATTTCGTGATATTTTCTGAACTGGAGGTTGCCCATCCAGACAATATAGATTTAATGAATCTACTGAAAGTCATTCATTCATATGAGGCTACAGGGAAGGAGCTGATGATGTTTTTGAGAACAAAAAGACATAAACAGTGTCATAGGCCTTTCTAAAACCCAGAGATGGGGTAAATTTATGTTTGTAAATTAGTCATTTAGGCTTGGAAATCCTTGTAGTCCTTGCATTGAGAGATGTTGAACAATAAACCATAGCTTAGTCAATTCATTCTGAAAAATTAAGAAATGTTCTGATGTGTTATATATCAGTATGCCAAATGAATATGTAATAGGAAAACACTAGAGAAATATATCCCACAAAGGATAACTAACATGTTCATTTGTCCATCAAAGCAGTTTAATTTTCAGACATGATCTCCCTCCACTTTTTTGTGTTACATGACTAATTTTAGTAAGGTCACACCATTCTAAAGCCGATTTAACAAACAGATTAATTTTGATGATCACTAACACATCTTTGCAACATCCTGAAGAGACTCAAGGCAGAATTATTAACCTTAACTTTTATCCAATTTACACATAAGTGAACTAAGATTAACTCCACTGAAATTAGTGTAAATTGAGAGGAAATTAGGCCTCCTCTTATAAGTAGATTCTTTTCATTCAAAAGTGCACTGAATTTGAGTACAACCTTTAAAAGTAATGGTAATAAAAGCAGCGCTGACTGTAGCTTTCCATTCCTGCAGATAAGGGCAAGTTGTGTTTAACGTCTTGTCAGATACTCCCCAAGTTTTTAGTCCAACTTGATGTAATTCTTTCAGGAAAGAAAGTCAACATGACAAGGGAAGTGAGGAGGAGATTTAGCAATTTGCAAACAGCATAGAAGACTTCCTGAGTTCAGAATATAAATGGGAGGTGGGAGAGGAGATTTTCTTGCTCAGTTCACGCTTTATTTTTAAACAAATTCTATTCTGTTTCACTCTTGGAGAAAAAAAAAAAAAAGAAAAAAAGAACAATGCTGTAAAAACCTATCAATGGAACAAGAAACATTTTTCTTCAACTTACAGCCATGACTAGTCAAGTGTTTTTAGGAACTAAGTAGTTGAATACATAAAAATGTTTGAGAAAACAGGTCAAATGCTAAACAGATTGGCACTTCTTTGTTCATAATGAAAAAGACATTACGCAAGTACGAACAAGAGTTTCAAAATGTCAGTAAATGTGAGGATATCAAAGATTTTCTAAGCCAGCAAGTTAATTGGTATTTTGATCCTTTTGAGCAACTTAACAACAAAATGGATGAGCCAGCATTTTTTCTCCCTTGATGTTATTAAACAAATAGGTGTGCTTCTTATCTGCCTGTTCAATAATGCTGTTTTGTAAACTCTTAGCAGGAAATATGAGGACAAAACAATCAAAGGCAGGGAACAGAACCATTCAGGGTTTATCAGGTGGGAGGTAAACAAAAGATAAAGCTCTGTCTAATGTTACTCTTTGCTGTCTTCTGTTTTCATGTAGAGCAGATTATTTCAGTGTTGCAAACCTGGAGGTAGTTTATTGGGTTAAGAAACAGATGGTGAAGAGAGGACTTAATTGTAACTTATTCACACAATACTTCTTCAGCCAAGTATACAACTGTCTGGTTTATGTATATAAATACATATATTCTTTTACTTAAATTAGAGAAACGTAATCTGCAGCCCCTGTAAACACTGTAGACCTGTCAAGTCTTAGGCACTTTGTCTCTGTTGGCCATCATGTGTCTGTCTTACATGTTTGCTGTGAAGCCCCGTGGACCCTTTCTCAGGTTGGAATCCCAGGTTTCAGACACAGGTTATTAACCTGATCAGGCAACCAGGTGTGCCTGGCTTATGGGGCCGCATAGCAATCATGCACTGCACAGCAGCTAAGGGAGGGGTCCCTGCCCAAGGCAGAGGGGTTGGAACTAGATGATCTTTGAGGTCCCTTCCAACCCAAACCATTCTATGATTCTATGATTCTAGCAGGGACCTGCACTGAAAGTCCCACTTGGTGGGACACTGCTTGCTATATCTGACTGCCCAAGCCCCTGGAACTTCACATGACATGATGTGGTGTGCAGGTGTGTCCTCACCACATATCTCCCAGCTGTATACTCCTTTTGTGTAATGTGGCATATACTGTACCATGGGTTGAAAGATAAGGGACTTGAGAGTCTAATGGTCCTAAATGGTGTCATGCTTGAAGTGCTTCATAAGCACATAGGAATGTGTTGAGAGGTTTTGTACAAGTTTCATTTAAGGATTGTCTTTTTTCTTCTCTGCTCATTTACATTCTGCATTGAAGTTCTTTGTACTGCATTAAGATGCAGGATACACTTTTCCTATAAGCACAACCTACTCCCTAGTAGCCAGATGATCATATGCTCATGGCAATACCAGTGCTATTGCTGTAACATTGGTCCCAGTGAAGCTGGTTCTGCTTTTTCAGTCTCACAGTGCAAATTTGCATAAGGTCACTGTTGTTACACCTCGTACACACAGTCTATAAACCGACAGTGTTACATTTCTCATGAGCATATAAAGCCTCATTGACCTTAATGAGTCGCATTCTGCATTGAGTGGAGGTAGGAATAAAAACTGGTCAAATATTGCAAAATCCTGCAAACATTTTATCTCGGTACATGCCTTCTTCTAACTCCAAAAATTCAGCGGTGGTAGACTTGTTTATTATTCAAAACCAGGGAAGCGCTGAATTAAATTAGAAGTCAACAAGTTTGCTATAGAGAAAAGAAATGCTTACTTTTAAAATGATGTGTTTTTAATGCAGACTTACTTTTAACACTGAGTCTGCACTATACCAACGTCCCTAAGTGATTTCTGGAAACAAAATTGTAACATCCCCCATATTTCAATTTTACTGTTATCCGTGGAAATGTTTATTATTTGTTTCAGTAGCTTTAAGATTTCACCCGATCTGTATAATGTTCTGTACACTCTAAATATGGTACACTACTGTGTCTTCCACATATACTTTCTAGACTCATGTCATTCACAGAACACTGGTAAATGGTTGCAGAATGGAGAAGGTATGAAACCTCTAGAAGTGAAGTCTGATAATCCATTATGAACCATATATGCAGAATGGACTAAATTATGCCTTTCTGAGAGTATTTTTGTGATTCTATGTTTATCTGATGATTTACAGCATACGTGTTAGGTATCTGTTACTGAATTTTAAGAGTATGTTGGATGTTTTCTCATTTTTCATTCACACTTTTTCATTCCTACTCTCAATACAGAGTCAAATTTTATTAGTTGTATGAATTCAGACATGAAAGTTTCTGAAAGAGGTGAGGTACAACTAATACAAGTTAGGAATTTTTGAAAGTTATTTAATGGCTCTTTCAAAGCTAAAAACATGATTTTTTTAAACTTTCCAACTCCAGGGCTGAGAAGAAAAAAACGTCTTTTGGAATGTTGAGAATCTCTGTACTGTTGCTGGAGGTCTGGCTAGAAAGGAATTTTGCCCTCTTGCACCTCATGCTTTTCACATATTGTTGTCCATTCCCCACCTCAGGCTTGTATATTTCAGTAAAAAGATTTGTTTTAAAGAGAAAAATGGTTAATCATTACTTTTTTAAGTTAATTGTGTAGAATTAATGCTGCCTTTAAGTCTGGAATGTGAAGGGAACTTTAGCAAGAGACTGATATAATAGTTAATGATGCTGCTTAAATGCTATTTATTGAACAGTTTCACAGTTCACCTTTAAGGAGGGGAGAGAAATTGAACCATTTGTTTACAATCAGTTTATCTAATCTAAAACCACCAACACTAAAATGCCTTGGCCATAATCAGGTAGTTAATGCATAGCATCATTCCAAAGTTTTCAATATCTTAGCATGGTTGGATGTCTTTAACATTTAACCTTAACTCTGCATGTCCTAGCTTTGCTGTTGTTGATCTGGGGATAACTTCAACTTTTAAAAAGTGTTGGTTTATGCCTAATGACTACTAATTACAGGTAATCCCATTTTAATGTATATTTTGTCTGGAATACTATTCATGTCTATGAAGGATAGTTTGCAGTGCAGTGTAAGAACCACTGGTTAAGAAATACATAATTCCAGAGTTTCATCAGCTCTGAGAAATTAGTTCTTCTGAGGGGTAATTACCTTTCTCTTACTTAGTCTTACTTTTAGGAAACATGTAGATGAATATGTGTCATGTGTAGGAAATTTTCAAGCAGGATGTATAACCCGAGAAAATAAAATAAAGGACTATAA